AAAAAAAAATAAATTTTGAATGAAACTCCGATTTTGTTTTTTGTCAAATTCGTTTTAAGTAAAGTAAATAAAGAAAGATTTAAAATATTTCAATTAGAAAATAAATTTTTTTTCATCAATAAAAGTAAATCATATTTTTCGAGAAAATTTCTAATACGAAAAGATCTTCTTTGTTGAAATTGATGAATGAAATAAAAATAATAACAACAAATATATGAAATATTATATAATTCTCTTAAAATAATTATCTCATTATAAAAACGAAGATGACTTTAATGTCTTTTAATTTTCATTTTCATTTCAAAAGTAAGAAGAAACTTCGTGAGATAAATGAATTAAAATCGAATGAAAAACTGATGTTATCCATCTTTTTAAAAATAATTAAACAAAATATTCAACAAGCTTGTTATATATGAATGAAAATGTAAGAGAAAGAATATTGTAAGATCGATAATTAAATATTTCTGATAAATTCTATTTATTTTCATCGAGGACTTTCGATGAAAAAAGGGAAAACAAATTCATTTTCTCAATTCAAACAGAAGATTTCAATTTTTAAAGAAAATCTAAAATGAAATTAACTTACCTGAACTGATTTGGTTTGCTGCTGCTATTGTTTGTTGCATTCGACGTATTGATGATGTATATGTTAATTGATGTCTAAAATAATTAATGAAAAGATTAGAAATTTATTTTGTTTTTCAAATAAATTGAATTTCTAATTCATTTATATTTTTAGCCAAGATAAGAAAAAAAGAGAAATATTTTATGTATTTCTTTTAGTAAGATGTTGAATATACTTCACAATTAAGAATATTCGAGATATAGAATATGCTCATAATCTTGTTACATTCTTCATATATTGTATAACTAAAATTTTAACGTACATGTATTTTTAAAAGAAATATAAATCTTTATTCAAATGTATAAACTGAATTCTATTCTTTGATACGTACTTAAGAAGTTTTATTTAAATTGAGAATTTTTTAAATAAATACTTTTAATGAAGAACATTTATAGTAAAAATTCCAAACTCAATACATCGACTTAGATTTAAATATTGACCTTTCCCAGTGTTTATCAATTCTTTCCGATTTTTGTATTACATTTATCATTCATTATATGAGAAAACAGAGGTACTTTATTTTTTATCTGTTATGTTAGTAGATATTCGGTGATTTATATAAAAGTACTACAGTTACCATAACATTCATGAAAAGACAGTTTTTCTGAATACAAAAAGGCTAATAAAACTTGATTTTGAAGTTAATCTATTCAATAGTAAACGAACCATTAGTAACCATTCAATAAAATGAAGTATTTTAGTTCAGTAGGTTTGGATTGAGATGCAGCATAAACATATGCCATTTCCCTCAAAAGGAATTTATGAATGAAAAACAATCGAGTCTCCAGCTATAACGAGTTATTTAAACTAATTAAATCATTACCAACTAAAACGAGTGAATGAGATATCGAGACTAAGAACGTGGGTGAAACAGAATAACCACATCCTGACCATCTGCGTCTGTAACCATCTCAGTTTATAATGATTTAATTATATAAAATAAATCCTTATAAAAATCGCAAATCTTCATTCAAACTTTAGTTCATGGTCGATATATGACCACTATCTATTAATATAAATTTGTAGTCTATCTCAATTATTTATATTATTTTAATAAAAAACATTTCTCATATTTAAATCAAATTGTTATTTAGCACTCGGACAGATAAAACGTTGTGGTAGCACACTTTCACATTGAAATAGTATCGCAACATATAATCGGATAAAAAAGAAATCTATTATTATCTCATCCATATGATAGATGTAAGTACATATAGGAGAAGTCATTCCACTGTTGAATCTATACAATTCTCTAAATCAAATCGGAGCTCATCGAAAGTTTGACTTCTGTGCGAACGTCTGCATAAGTGAGAAGACTCAATGTGAAAAGATGAGTATGATTCTATGTCTATCTACTCTTTAGCTATACCATTATCTTCATTCTCAGGATAATTGTCCTGTGATATTCTCTATGCTCATTTTCATATTATTTCAAAACACTAATAACTTACCAAAATGAAACTATTTCACACAATTCAATTTCTAAACTTGTGATGTTTTGTATAATTATTTCGTATGTCTCAATTTGAATTTCTTTTTCGGTAAATAAATTCTCCTGAGTGTTTCGTAAAAAAATAATATTTTATGTTTCGTGTGGTTCTTTTCAACTAGACATTTGATTTAAAAAAAGAAATGTGAGAAAACATTTCAAGTGAAGAAGAGAAGAAAAATAACAAAATAACACATTTTTCTTTTTGATCTAATGGATTTTTAGTATTTCATAATGAGGCAACATGAGAAAATGATAAGTAAATATAATGAAGAAAAATACGATTTTTGTAAATTGGAAATAATTTCAACCTAAAATAACACTTTCATTAGTTTCATTTTGTTAATTAAAGAGATTAAAAATCTCAAATAAACTTTTCAACAAAAGAAAATCTTTCCAAAATAAAAATATTGATAAATATAATTATTTGATTGAAAGAGAAAAACCATATCGAGATAAATAAGTATAAGATATAATTGTAAAAACGAAAGTACTGCATATAATTGGATATTCCAAAATGTATTCACATATCTCAGAATGGATATATAATAGAAGTTTGATATTTTCTCTTAGAAGATTCGGTATAAAAAGCTCTAGAAAATGATGACATGAAATATTTACGATGATTGAAATTAATGATCTTTTTCATAATCAAAACGAAAAATGTTACATAATAAAATATGTTTGAAAAAATAATTTATTATTTAAAATGAATTTTTTTTATAGAAATTCTGTTTGATGTGATATATTTTTAAAATAAATTTAAACCATTATAATATATCTGTATATATGTCAAATAAGGTATTACATTCATTATTATATCTAGTTTATTATATCTAGAAGTTTTTTCTCTAAGAATTTTGTTAAAATCTAATTGAATTTATTTTTATATTAAAAAATCAGTAACCGTTTAATTAATGTTTTATAGATGAAAATATTATTTAATATTGTATAATATCGAATAAAAGGATATTTTAACTGAAATAACAATTAAATTTTGTTTAATCAAATATAATTTAATAAAAACAATGAATAAATTGATTATATTCTTTTGGATGGAATCAATACTCTTCTCGATAAACTTATTAAATAAGAAAGTAGCTATTGATTTATCTCTTAGTTCTCATTCTATCTAAATGAAATTATGGAATTTTTGTTTTTCCTAAATTTTCAAAAAATAGATATTCATTTATCTTCTTTCTTCCCTTTCTCTCAATAAATTATAAAACCACAAAAATACATCTAATAAAAAACAATTTGTTTTTATTTGCAAGGTTTTTTTATTATTTTAAATACTTTTCTTAATTTAAAATTAAAATTAACAAATATCTACTTACTTTTTTTCTGTAAATGAAAAACAAATTTAATTATTTATATTTATTTATTTTCAAAAACGAAAATCTAAATTTTATCAAATCCAATCAAAAATTTCTTAAAATTAAAGTTTTTTCATATTTTTGGATTCGATGATTTCCTTTATCAGCCACATAAAGATTTTCTTCATTATCAAAAGATAAACCTATGGGTAAATTAAATTCGTTTGATTGATTTCCTTCACCATTTCCACCAACAACAATTTCACCTTCTTCATCTCCTTCACACCAACGCATTATTCGATGATTCTCATAATCTGCCACATAGATTTGGCCTAAATTATCAACAAATACGCCTTCAGGTTGAGACAATTGATTGAGATTTTCTCCTTCACCATTTCCTCCAGCCACAATTCTTCCTGTTTTTGCACCTTTTCTCCATTTCATTACACGATGGTTCTCTCTATCTGATACATAAACAGATTGATCTTGATCAACAAAGATAAAACCAGGATCATTGAGTTGATTGAGTTGTTTTCCTTGTCCATTTCCACCTGCTACTACAATTCCTTAGTTGTTGTATTTTCCTATTTTCCATCGTCTTACTTCATTCTTCTTCCAGTCAGAAACATAAAGATATCCATGTTGATCCATTGCTAAACGAGAACA